TCTACTTGGGTATATAGTAGCTAGAAACAATGAAACTCATCTCTTACATAGACTACTCTAATGAGATAGTAAATTAAAAAATGTTATAGACTACTAATGTGTGACATAGGGCAAAGAACTTGGTTTAGAGAATGGTGAAAGATCTCTCACTGGTACAAAATAAATTATTTTATAGGGCTTTGAGGATTGACACCAAGTGCCCTTTGTGTGGGGAGCACTAAAGAGAATGCAGATTGCTTATTTAAACCAGGTGGCAATGTAACAAACATATTGAAAATGAGTTCGCTACGCATGCAATACATAAGATATGGGATAGTACAAATGGATCAAATCTATTATGCTAAAGTTCTTTTATGGCTTTTTGACACGGTACCTATATCTTTTGACATATTTGGTGGAGCTGCAATCAATGTGCCCACCGTAAAAAATGGGTCTCATTGAATATGATCACTAAAAATTGCATTATTTTGTTAACAAGTTACATCAACAATACTATTTGCTTATAGCTAAGAAATGGTGGACATGTTGACTATAAGGCAACTCCAAGATGGTTTTGCCTACCCCAAGAATATATGAGCTAAATTGGAATGCCATTATGGGTACTGATGGGTGGACAGAGTTAGGAATTGTTTGTAGACACTGTAATTGGGAAGTTATGTTTATTGGAATGAGAAGACTTATATCTCCACATTCTATTAATAATGCTAAAGCACACGAGATGGTTTATAGTCTGTAGCTTACGAGAAGCTTAGGAATTACAAGTATTTAACTTGAGAACGACTTACAACCTGTTGTTGACTTATTAAAAAGCATATACTCTATCAAATTCTGATCTTGGTTTACTTCTAGATGCTTAACTTTTTCTTGTAATGATCTTTCTATTGTTTGCCTCTTGGATTTTAAAGGATTGTAACATCATGGACCATGAACTTGCTTGAGGGCTCTTTATTAAGGGAAATTACCTTATTCATGAGCCTCATACGTTTGTGGTTTTTTTAGCTTTAGCATGATTTTCCTATCTTGCTTAGTTGAGTGAACTCTCACTTTCTTTCTTAAAACAAAGGATGCAAAATAAGAATTTTATTAATTAGTCTAATATGTTCCCATCTCATATTATTCTGACTCAGATTTTTTGTTTTAAGACCAACATAATTTTAAGGGATTCTGCTCTCAATAGCATCAATTGCAACTTCATTTTTATTTTCAAAATTAGAAAAAAATTAAAAATTAAAAATTTAGTTTTTTACAGAGTTGTTTGTGTTGAAATCTAATTCAAAATTCTTGAAGTAAGACTTATTCTCTGATATTATTCTCTCTAGATTTTAAGAGACTATGTGGGATTTTATTTAATTTCAAATTAGTGCCAACAAATTTTTATTAATATTTTGTCTTTATCTATTTCTAGTTGTAAGCTTATAAATAAACACCTTTAGTTCTGACAAAGGCAAACAATTTTTAAAATACCATCTTTGTTTTCTACCGAGTGTTCTTCATTTTTTTGCTTAATTTTTTTCTCATATATCATTTTATTTTCCATACTTTTTTCTAAAATTTCTAATATCAAAGCCATGCCACAAATGGCAGTGCACTTTGATGGAAGGATTTGAACTCAAATCTAGTGTGATGGAAGGATTTGAAATGATTAACTTGTTTTAATGACATTAGTTTTGGGAGACAAGGAGCATATGGAGTGTTTATTTCTCACAAAAATATGCAATTGACATTTTAAAAAAATTTAGCATGTTTAGCTGTAAGATTGTAGCTACACCTATGAATGTGAATGAAAAGTTACAATTTGAACATAACATTGAAAAGGCTAATGTAAGAAATTTCATAAGTTTTGTTGGAGATTTGATTTATTTGGCTCATACTAAGTTAGATATTTAATTTTCTATCCTAGTATCAAGTTAATAAATAGTCCTACAAAGTACCACTTTAGAGCTACAAAAATGATCTTGTATCATTATGAAATCTAGTATACTCATGTTTCTGAATTTAAGTTATTTGATTTTACTAAGAGTGATTGGGCAAGTTTCTTGGATAATCGAAAAAGTGCTTCTAGAAGTTTCTCAGTCTTAGGCCAAGAGCTATTACAACAACTTTGTTTTTTTTAAAGGCAGAATATTTTATTACCACTTCTTGAGCATGCCAAACTATATGGTTGAGAAGACCCCTCGCTAATCTTCATCAAGAGCAAAAAGAGGCAACAAAAATTGTTGGAACCATAGAGTGTCATTGGAATGACCAAAAATTAAATTTGCCATTGAAGGAAGAAACACATTAACTTTTATTTTGGAATTGGTTGTAAAATATGCTATTGTTTTGAAGTTTTATAATATGGACGAATAAATGAAAAATATATTCACAAAAGTTCTTCTGTGCTAGAAAGATGTTTTTTATAAGACACAACTCGGTGTATGCAATTTTGAATCAAGAGGCGATATTAAGATTAATTTAAAATTATTGAAATGAGATTTGTTCTTTCATGTTATCCTATCTAAATTTTGTGGAATTTTATTTAATTTTAAATTAGTATAAACAAATTCAATTACTTAAAATATTTAGTTTTTTTATTGTCCTCTACTTGTAGTTGTAAGTCTATAAATAAACACTTTTAGTTGTGACAAAGGCAAATCATTTTCAGATTATCAATATGTAGTGGCC